ATCATTCAAACAGCTTCTTCAAATATTGATGGGGTAGTCCTGGTGTGGCACTGTAGGATAAGCGTTGGACTGTAAAAGTTGGTTTGAACTGCAAGGTCAGCAGTTCAAACTCAATAACAACAACAAAGACTATTTTACTATTCCACCTGTACTTTCAAAGTGACACCTGTCTGTCAGTTAACACTGTGGTGAGGAAATAAGAGTTCTATGATATTATTTAATGTTTGAGAATGGTTTCATTTGCTCTCTCATGACAGGGTAGTTTTCATTGCTGTTAGGTGCTATTGAGTCAGTTCTGACTCACAACTACCCAGGAAAGGGTTTCCGAAGCTATAAATCTTCCTGATGGGTTTGAATCACATTTCTAGGACTTCCTGTGTTCGTCTAAAAATTAAGTGTAGTCTGGTTTTTGAGCCTCAATCAGAAGAGTAGACTGGCTTTGTATTTAATGCTTTACTTAGGCTTTTCCTCATACAGAAGATTCCATGACTAAAAAGGAAGCTTGATAACTTCTAAACTAGCTTGTCTTCTAACTCTGACTTTATATAATTACTGTGATTTCTAATGTGAAAACTTCAAGACTCACAAGAAAGGAAAACATTATTTTTTTTTTCACATTTTGAAAAATACTAATATAATTGATGCAATGATTTTCAAAATCATTTAGCAGAAGTCTTTTTTTTCTAAAAGAAATATTAACAATACAAACAATTAACTCCTTATTGTGAGAGGAAGGCACTTGCTTTAGGGAAGAGTCACCAAGTTCCAGCCTACCAGCTGCTCCACAGGATAAAGATGAAGCTTTCTGTTCCCATAAAGATTTATAGCCTCGGGAACCCTATACAGAATTGCTATAAGTCAGAACTGATCACAGCACTTAACAACTTAGCAACAGGGAAAGGTCCTTCTTTGGAGATAGCCCCAGGAATTCCTAGGATTCTTTGGCATTCCCTGGTGTTTGCTGGCATTCGCTGATATTCTTTGGTGTTCTTTGGCATCTGTTTTCTCTTATGGGTATCTCTCATTTTCTATTTTGTTTTTTTTAAAACTCAGAAGTGATTAGAATTAGGACCCAGACTACTCTGGTATGATCTTATTAACTAAAGAAGAACTCTTTTTCCAACCATGGTCATATCCACAAGGTACAGGGCCCAAAACTTGTGTTCTTGAGGAGTCAAATTCAGTCCACAACAGTGAACCTTGATGTTGATGCATGCCTACAAGAGTGACTAGAATGAAAAAGACAACAACAACCATGTTTTAATGAGGCTTCGGGAAAACAACTTTCATATATTACTGGTAAAAAGTAGAAATTGGTACAACTACTTTGGAACATTGATTAGCAGTAATTACTAAAGCTAAACATTTGTTGTTGTTGTTAAGTGTCATAGAGTTGGTTTGACTTATAACATGCCTGTATAGGGTTTTTGAGGAGCAGCTGATACATTTGAACCACCAACTTTGTGGTTAGTAGTCCATTGCTTATCCGGCCATGCCATACTAGGACTCCACAAACCAAAAATGTGAATATATGTTTCTAAAGAGCCTACATGGCATTACAATAATATTTTGACAGAGCTATGAATAACAGCTACAATGGAAAACAATCGAATGTCCATTTGACTGTTGGATCATAACAGATTATAGACAACATAGAACAGATGAGAATTTCAGAATACTTAACACTGCTCATAAGGAACCTGCACATAGACAAAGAGGCAGTCCTTTGAACAGAACAATGGGATGCTATGGATAAAATATAGTGGTTTAAAATCAGGAAAGGTGTATGTCAGGGTTGTATTTTTTCAGCATACGTATTAATT